CAAAATATACCTTCAACCATTCAAGTCGCACCTAAATCACCTCCAAACTTTCGTTTCGATTGTGCCAAGATTCACGAATGCATAAATGTCGAACTAAAATTTATATCCCATAACTCCATAATTATGGGTTTGTATTCTGCTGGTAATAGAATATGAATAAACAGCTCTTCTGCGGAGCTGCATTTTGAGATACAACAGTTCAAAAGTGTATGTTCGTAGAAGAATCAGTTAAAGTTTGCTTTGAATTTGAAAAGAAAGATGAATTCAGAAATCTTCTATCGCCAGCTGAGAGTTCATATGGAAGACTTGTAGTGACGTATAATCCTCCTCAGCACAAAAAAATTCCCATAGGTGAAAACGAGACATCGAACCGAGCAAAGAATGCAACTTAAAAATGGGCTAGGTACTAGAAAAATAAAAATAACGAACCACTGCGATCGTTCAACTGCAGTGAATAATGTTGCGTAACGTAGTGTGAGAAGAACACTTTAAGTCTTATAACAATAACGTGACATTCAAAATGAAAGTTCAGGAGAGCCGGATTTCTAGGTGAATTCAGAACACGATTCAAATCTTATTAACAAGTTAAATTGCAGCGTCTAAGGTCATAGTATGGCAACCAAAATTTGCACTTCTGTCATCAATTGTACATCTGATAATGGATAGCTATTTAACATCATAAAGTTTTATCATATTCATTTTGTTAATTTGTTTGTGAAGTTAATGAAGTATGTACTTTAATTTGGAAAACAGTGGGGTAGAGTGCACATACTCGCACACATTCACTTTATAAAACATGCTTTCTCAAGAAATAATCTTGACGAATAACCCTTGAGCTTTAACTCCCAGCACGTAAGCTACGTGTAGCTATATTTTTGCAAAAGTCTGCTCTAATGCAAACGTGCTTGGCCTAACAATTAGTGAAGTGCCCGATGTGGGATTTCAGGTCTTCAACGCATTAAATTTCAAACATCTTCCAAGAAACTGATATCGCAATTCACTTGATAAAAATCATAACTCGGAATACAACCTCTGATTACATTTAAGTGAAGCGGTTAAATCATTTGAAGAGGATTTTTTATTTGAAATACTTGAGTTTTATGGCAGAATTATAAAAAATATTGTTTGAAGTTGATTTTTATAGAATAGTTTACAATACATAAATAGTTGTTTCCTTAATACAAAACAAAAATGTTATTTTTTCACCAAACTCCACGATTACCGGTTATTTGGATTAACAGAAAAATAACATTGAATTAGGTGATAGGTGCTTTTAATGAATTTAACTGAATATAATTTCAAATACTGGAAAGCGAGAAGTCGCCAAAACTATGCCCAGTCTGTTTTTTTAAATTTGAGAAATCTACATAACAGGCTGCTTTTTGAGCAGACGATAATTTATGCTTCATTTTTGAAGGTAGAAAAGTAATTATTTTACCTTCGCCATTAAATATTTCTTATCTGGTGCTTCAAAAAGGAACCGATTAATTTATTCTTTAGTTGGCGTCTTTCGCTTTTCAGGATGACATCCGTGAGATTTATTTTTTAAATATGGTAATACTGATGCCATGTTTCACATTCAAAGTATCTTTCAAACATCGAGTAATGTCCCCACAATTCTGATGGTTCAACTGTCTTTGATAAATACGCACATACAAAAAAGGAGTTTTGTATTTCCCGTCACTCCATAAATAGCCTATAACTATTTTTGTTTGCTTCTTTCGACTTGGAAAGTCCCAATTCTTAAAGTTGCATGTTTCGATAATTCCTGTATATCAGGCGACGCAGAGGGTATTTTAGATGACTCAATGGTAAACGACTATTTTCATATTTGTTGGACGTTTCATGACCTCCTAGAGTATGAAAAGTATAGGTTTATTATTATTATTATTCTGACCTGACCATCCCCACCAATAATTTGATGACATCTCAAAATTTTGCATAGTAAATGTTATTTAAATTTTATAAAATAACATATTTCTATGCTTGTGGTTTATGAACCGCCCTTAATTGTTTATCTTAGATTCCTAGACATCCAGATTTTTGGAAATAAATCAAAATTGCACCTATATAAGCAGTTCTAAAAAAATTAATTCGTCATCAATTTTTGGGGAGAGATGAACCCATATATTTTGATTAAAAATTTATTTTTAATTTATTTATTTTGCTAACACAATAACTTTTAAAACGTCTGCAAGATTTCAAAGCATTCGATTTTGCAAATTCCAAATTAAATCGCAAAATGTTGTTATATGATTATGATTTTTTTTCCAAAAAGTGTAAAGTATCTGGTAAAAAGTCAACACGGATTCATAAACTATACGTGTAGGGATATGTTTTTCATACAAATTAAAACCCATTTACTGTGTACAATTTTGAGCTACCGTCTTCGCGTTATTGGTGAGGATGATTCGACAAATTTTGGTTAACGTTTTACCATTTACATGATATTCCAAATATACATACAAAATTTGACAACAATCGGTCTATTAGTTTCGGAGATTATCTGTAAGAAAAATCTGGACGGACAGACAGACGGAAACTGGAGACCCATTTTTTCGTACTCTTGGGGTCATGACACATGGAGAAAATATGAAAGCAGTTTGAGAAGTAAAAAATAAAATAAAATTCGCAAAACCAAATTTAATAACTTTTTAAGAAACCAGGCTTATTTGTTCTGTCTAGGAATCTAGGAATAATTTTCACATATGCTATTTTCTGATCATAATAATCTGACAAGATACATCAAATTACGACCCAAACAATTCTTAAACGATCTTCCGGGTTGGAGAAAATTATTATTAAAAAAACATTCAATGAACGTGTCCCACGAGATTTTGTAAACCTCATGTATTTAAGTAAATTGTTCAAAATTAAAACATAAAAAACAACGAAAGTATTTTAACAAAAATGACTCTGGGTATTTATTTTTCTTGGTTCGAGCTACAAGAAAAACTTTAGCGTCAAGTATTTATTACGTATTTATTTCCTCATATTAAAAAAAAAACAGTACAATGACCACACCCTCACTCCTCACACCCACAAAATGCTGCTAAGGAAGTAATAAATGCCTTATGCCCGTTTGCACCACTTTTAATCACGTGATTAAAAATACGGTGCAAACGAACATTAGTACCCCAAAACTCCAGTATATTATACCGAATTGCTATTGTGAATGTTTGTGATTTTTTTTTGTCAGGTTGGCAACATTTTTTATATATTTTTTGATGGCATATTGGGCACCCTCATGCTAAAATTGACAACTGTGAAGTGACATAGTAATCATAGTATGACATCATTGCTGCCACCACATCAATAATAGTTACCCGGTATTAAATATTGCAGAAAATATGAAATTGAAGGTTATGCAGTCGTGCCATTCGCCGCTAATAAAACAATCTAGTTTATTGACATTTGTTTTCTTTTGCAACTTCTGTAACTTAATTGCTAGCAATGATGAAACTTCAATATAAAATATTTTCTGAATATTAAACACACTAAGCATACAAGATACAAATTATAATTGATGTTCCATCAAATTTGAGGTACCCTTTATTTACAAAAGTGAACTGACATGGTATAACATCATTCCTGCCAATAATTTAGAAGGGTCACCACAAAAATTTGCTTCAATCATTAATGTATTAAATATGAAAGTGAAGTTTATGCCATTCGCCGCCAATAAAACAATCTATTTTAGTGACATTTGTTTTCTCCCGCTACATCTGTCATTTAATTGCTAGCGTTGATGAAACTTCAAGATAAAATATGTATTTTGTGAAAATGAATACACTATGCAATACTATGCATACAAGATACAAATTCCAAATGATGCACCATCAAATTTGATGTTCCCTCTATTTACCAAGCAGTTAAATAATGCAAATATTAATTATCGTCATACGAAAAACCTACAGCTGCTCTGTACGCAGATAACCGATAACCGACCACCCCTGCACAAAAATATCAATTATTTAGATGTTCATTACCGAATTCCAGTCGGGTTGACGACAGATCGCTTTATTGAATCATCTATTATGTTGTTAACGTCAACTGGAATGCTTCAATTAATAAACCAATTGATGTATAGAGTTATGTTAAAAATGCAGATGGACGCAAGTAGGTAGACAAGTCTTATTGGATTCGTATAGTATTCATATTCCAGTCAGAACATTCGTACCGCTTTTTTTCCACACTAAAATTACGATGTTATTGTTTGGAGGTACAAACTGATGAACCTGCTACAATGGTTATTTATCATTACTGAAAACGACCATTCACCTTAGTTCTCAGAAACGCGCCGATAAAAGAACCGTTCGACGATTTTTCCGACTTTGTCGCTTATCACAAAGCCACAACAGCAAACAAATGAATAATGTTCGATAGCTATCTAATCGAAAGTTGCACCTTATTTATTTAAACGTTGAGTAATGTGAAGAGCTCTTAAGTAAACGCTCCCATTTCCACGAAACCGATAAAAACAATGATCCAGAAGTACTTCTTTCTCCGACTTCACACGGTTTACATATTATTATCTTACATAATGCGGCCGGCGTGACTAACGTTCGAAGAATCCGAAGAATAGAACGAGACGATTATTGTTAAAGAAGTCGATGGCAAAGCCCCGTGAGGATTATTACACAATTTCCAATTACTCTAGGTGCACCGTTGTAGAGAACTACACATTTATTATAATAAACAACTTTCATTGGAGATGAGATCATCCTCTATAATACTGGTTTGATAATGGACACAGCATTCGTGTGACTGGCGGCTGAAATAAGTGGCGGCTAACCGGTGACCAAGCGCTTCTTTTTAAACTTTGAACGCGAAATGCATGAATCACAAATGTGGGAAACAATAACGGTTCTACTTTTAGTTGTCTTAGGTTAGAGAAAGAGACAAAAGTCACTGGGGCGCCCCACCGGAACAGGTGAAGACACACCCCTGAGACTTGACAAGTCAACCACAAAAGGGCTTACTGCAAAAATGGGACTTACCGTTGTTCTAGACTGCAGAAATTAAGACCGGTGCTATTTAAATCACTATTTGAAGTGCGTGAATGTTTCTATGTAACACTAATGACACTAGAGCCAGCCGAGCATACGCCCCATCGATTATTTTCGTTGACGCGGTCCAAGCGGTGACTTGAAGGGCGTCGTTTCGCTAATTTAAGTCAATAATCGTCGATTCCAGACACTTTAATAACAAAGTCGCTCACTAAAAATTAGAAATTCGTTTCGCGTACCCTCAGCAGTTTCTACCGAACCAACTCCAATGGCAATGCGCTGGCGCAACCCATCATACGCATCGAAGCTACTGGGACCACCTCACGCAAAACACGCCCTTACACCAACTGTCATACGGCCCAAAGTCGCCTCTAGTCTGTCAAATTTAGAAACACTAGCGCTTCAGTGTAAAAAATCATAACTAAAATCGACGTTTTTCTGTATCGATCTGACAGTTGTCAAAAAAGTTTGACGTTTGTCAACGTTTGTTTATTGCTTTCTCAGGTAAAAAAGCGTTTTTTGTGGTTGTTATATTTTCGGAGGGTTTTTTTTCATCCATTGTTGTTTTTTTTAGGTAGGTATGGGTAGGCGCAGTCGATCCAAATCGCCATACGGCTCCAGACGGCGTGACAGAGAGAGAGACCGGGATAAGGACAGGGACAGAGATAGGGATCGGGAACGGGAAAGAGAGAGAGACCGACACAGGAGGAAGCGGTCCAAGGACAGGTCCAGAGATAGGGAACGAAGACGGCATTCGCACGACAGAGAAGTTCGCCGTAGGTACTCACGTTCATTGACTAGGTCCAGGTCCAGATCCAGATCGGTGGAAAAAAAATCGAGACCTTTGCAGCCTGAAAGACCGGTTGTTACGGCGGCAGACTTGGAGGGGAAGAGTGCGGATGAACAAGAGATGATGAAGTTGATGGGTTTTTGTAATTTTGATACTACGAAAGGGAAGAAGGTCGAAGGGAATGACGTGGGTGGCGTTCACGTTATCTTGAAGAGGAAATATAGACAGTACATGAATAGAAAGGGAGGTTTTAATAGACCTCTGGACTTTGTTGCGTGAGTGGGAGTGAACAACCAGGTTTTACTTACCTCAATTGTCAGGTTAGATGAAATGGATACCTCATGAAGTGTATATTCAAGTTTTATGGTTTGACGTTTTACATACATCGTTGTTGTTGATGGGTAATGTAAAGTGTTTACGGGTTGTTCTCCATATACTTTTATATAGTTAAGTTTCCAGTTTATCATAAGCGTAACAGATTTGATACGATTGTAGAAATTGTCCGATCAAGACTAATTTTTGTAAGAAATACACAATTTAATATTTATCCACTTGTTAATTTCTTAACGTCACAGTTATCTGGATATTTCAGAGAATTTCCTGCTAACGACTAGTAGAACTATATTTAGTCGACTCTTCTTTGTAACATAAAATGTTAAAGTATTAAGATTCTCTTAAAGAGGTGTTTAGTACAGACATGGAAATTTAATGAGTTCAGGTATAAAATTTCATTGCCATATTTCCTACAGTGTCTACTTTCACCTATACTATGTGCGCGCTTTTAGCTATAATATCAGAATGAATTAATTATTTTCATACATTTATTTGGAAGAAATTACAACAGGTCTTGATGGTCTTCTCAAATAATAATGTTGACTGTATCAACAGAGACACAGACACAGAATAATTAGGTTGTATAATTCTTATTATTTTCTGAAAGTGGTTGTTGTAAGATCTTAGCCAAGTCCTCACCAGAATATAAGTTTATACATGGATAGAATTAATGACTGCGGAAAATTTTTGGAGTGGCAATTCTGAATGATTGGCAGTAATCTTAGTATGCCAGTTCACAGTTGTTAATTTGATATGGCTGCTCCTAAAAAAAACACAAATGAGAAGAAAAATTAGTGCCCAAATTTCAATTTTACATCAGGTATGCCATCACAGAATTTCAGTATGTTGCCAATCTGACAAAAAAAAAAACACAAACATTAATATTAACTCGGTATTTATAGTAACTATAGTATTAGTAGTAGTGTTGCTAAATAGCTTTAATAGCTGAATATTGATCCTTGACATTTATCTAGTTAAAAATCTGGATTTTTAGCCGCAATTTATCCGAGATTAAAAGTATATAAAAGAAGTTGAACAAAAATAGAATTTTTAAAATTATTACATTATTGAAAAATTTAGTCTGTGTCATCAGAACATTCATTTTCGTTGCCTAATTTACAATCCTAATTATCAGTTTCTACTTCCAAAAATATCTCTTGTGTTTCTGAATTACTCCACTTACTTTTTCTATTAGACCTTAATAAAAAAATATGTATCTCCCATTTGCTAGATTCCATCACAATTGGCGTCAAATTTGAAATACAAAGCTTGGCAGCGATTTTAATAAAGTATTAAGCAAGAATAATTTAAAAAATAAAACAAAATGCTGCAATATTGCATTGTAAATTAAAAAAAACATACCTTTAAGATGCATACTTGTCTCATAATCCACTTCAAATATATATAATAATACGCGTATACAGGGATATGTTTTTCAATACGTTGACATTTCAATGCGACTTTTTTATCAGTCTGTATTTTTGGTTACTGTCTTATCTATTATTTTTATTTAATAAAATGATTGTGCGTTTAATAAGTCCGATATTCTCGGATTCAACAACTTATAAAACGTCGAAAAAAACTCTTTTTTTTTCTTTAGCTCTTAAACATTATGATTTATCTTACAAGAGAAATTATTTAATTAATTCAATAATTCATACATGAAATTGTTTCTAGGCTGATACACTTTTTTCGTTTTGGTATACTATAGGCAAACAACATACTTTGTACCTGAATTAATAACAGTTAAATTTGAATGTAGGGCCATTTTATAAAAAAAAAAACACTTAATGCGTTATGATTTGTCTCAAACTGACTTATAAGTCAACAGTAATTTACATAAAGATGAAAACAGAAAAAAATTGGTCGAAAAAAAAAAAATTATTTCCCTCGCTCCTGAAACACAGTCCAATCAACTTTTTGTGTGATAATAATATCGCTTGATTTTTCAAATTTCTGCTCTAGTCGGCCATGACGCCTACGTCAGCCGCAAGTCACCCGTTTCAATTTCACTGCTGACGTACGCGTCATGACCAACTAGAATAGAAATTTAAACCAGTAACGTAAATAATCCTCCGCAGCCCCTGCACCACGGGGGCGCAAATTCCAAGGGAACGCAATGTGAACAATATGAAATATATTTAAAGCAGATAACCAACGGAAAAAAATGTACTCTCTGCTTGGAAGGAATTCCGACTATTGGCATGTTTAGATAACATGCATCAGCGGCCGCATGCACTTGTGCAGTGAGTAAAGATGTTTAAATACATAGTCACTGACTTGTGTTAACATCAGGGGCGGCTGTGCCAGGGGGCACAAGGGCACGTGTCCCCCAAAATGACAACGTCTATAAACACACTGGAGATGGCAAAATAGTAATTTTCAATATTTAAAAAATTATTCGAAAATAATTTGTGTCATAATTATCAAAACTATTTTTTTTATCATCTCCATTTGTATAAAATGTATCAAAACGTACATCTAAAGATGTTGTGTTAAATCATACTTCATTTAGACGTTTTGTTTACACCGTTGCCATGAAAACCATGCATCTAGTCGCTGTATTCAGCTGGAATCGGTCCTGCTCGAACAGTGACCACAACCAGTAACTCAGTTGCGGGATTACATTTTCATTCTGCGCGAGTGAAATTGTTTGATTTTAAATAAAAATAATGAATGCAGTTGAATATTTAATAAAACATCGTCCTCTGTTTTACGACGGAATTTTTTTTTTTTTAATTTAGGTAGTGCCACCCCCGATTTATTAATAAAAAAAAGTCTTCATGACAAAACGAGACTTTTATAGATATTTTAATATACATACCAAGTATGGTAAATTTTTGTAGATGTGTGGTGTGAAAAAAATAATAAATTGTTTTGTTTGTGTGTCTCCTCAGTAACAATTTAAAACCAAAGGTATACGGACAAGTACTTTTTTACTTTTCTTGAATGTATTTTTGTATTTATTTCCGTCACACAATTTCGTCTATTAATTGGTAATAACAGCCTGTTTTATATCTTCATATTTAACTCATCAATCAAATCATAGATTAATGTAGATGCGACATACAGGCTGATTTTGCAAAACCACCCTTATTGACATTGGAGTCCTCAACCGCCAAAGGCAAGCGCCAAATTTAAATAGCCGATACCAATAAAAAAACTTGTTTCACTAGAACTCGTCGCATGAGAACTTGTTTGATCTACAGACCAGAGCGCGCTCAGGCCAATGTCGACTCTGTTGTTTGGTCGGTTTTTATAACGATAAAGTGAATATTTTTGGTACATATTTGGATGATTTTCCATATTTTGTTCAACTAGGAATTAATTTTTTATTTGTGTTTTATACTAGCAAAACGCCTTAAACTAAGAATATTGTTGAAATCGTAGTAACCCAATGGATTTTTATCGGGAAAATGTTTTGGAAACACTGTGTTCTATTTTGTATGAATTTTTAAATGTTTTTAGTGACAATTTTTGTGGTTGTTTTCGATACACTGTGAGAAAAAAAAATGAAAAATTAAAATAATCGAAAAATCGAGAAATCTAATAATCTAAAAATCGAAACCTTAAAAAAATCGTAAAACCGAAACATTGAAAAATCGAAATATCGAAGAACTGAAAATCGAAAAATGAAACATCTGAAAATCGAAAAAATGTAAAATTCAAAAATCGGATAACTCGAGAAACCGAAATAGGCCAAAATCGAAAAGTTAAAAATTGAACAATTTATAAATTGAGAAGTTGACAATCAAAATATCGAAAAATCCAAATCTCGACGAATCGAGAAATCAAAAAACTTAAAAATTCGAAAAACTGAAAAATTGAGAGATTGAAAGATCAATGATGAAGTCGAAAAATCGAAAAATAGAGAAATCGACAAACAAAAAGTTAAAAGTTGAAAAAAATGGAAAACTGGAAAAACTGAGAAACCGAAATAGGCCGAAATAAAAAATTGAAAAACTGATAAATGGAAAACCTGAACAATCAAATCTCGATAAATCGGGAATGAAAATTTAAGAAATCGAAAAATTGAAAAACAGAACATATAAAACCAGGAAGTCGAAAAATCGAAAGATTAAGAAGAAAAAATAGAGAAATCTAAAATTTAAAAATCGAAAAAGTAAACAGTCGACACATCGAAAAATCCAGAAGTCAAAAATGGAAAAGTTGAAGAACAGAAATATTGAAAAATTCCAATACTGAAATATCGAAAAACTGTAAAATGAAAAAAAAAACTGACGAATCGAAAAACTAAAAAATTCCTAAACTTACATATCCAAAAACTGAGAATCTAAAGAATCGAAAAATTAAGAAATCGAAAAATCAAAAAAGTGAAGTCGAAATACCGAAACATTAAAAAAATCGAAAAATTGAAATATCAAGAACCTGAAAAATCGTAAGATCGAAAAATTGAATAATAAGTAAACTGAAAAATCCCAAAACTGAAATGTCCAAAACCTGAGAAATTAAAAAATTGAAAAATTGAGAAATCGAAAAATCAAAAAAGTGAATTTGAAAAATCAAAACCTGAAAAAATTGAAAAATCGACAAATAGAGAGTTTATAAAAGTCAAAAATTGAAAAGTCGAAATATTTAAAATCCAAAAATTGAATAATAATTAGGAGTAAACTGAAAAGTGCCCAAACTAAAATTTCGAAAAACTGATAATTCGAAAGTTGAAACAGCAAGAAATTATGGTCGAAACCGGTTAGGATGTGTATCAGATCACGGATCATAGCTTATAAATCAAATCGTTTCCGAACGCTTAGAGTCGACATTGGCCTGGAGTGCGCTCTGGTCTGTAGATCAAACAAGTTATCAGACGACGAACTGTAATTCGTGTGACCTGAATTAAAGTGAAGGAAACAGTAAGCAGCTTGTAATATTCTGGTAAATCTAGGGTCAATTTGTCGAAAGTAAAACGCGTCGTTAAAAATATGATGACATTTTTTTTAGTTAATTTTATTCCTAGTTAGAAACAAACACTGTTGCCAACATAAGTCGAGGAATCCTCAACCGTCATTTAATTTAAACTATGACGCTTCTCTATGTTCTCTGATCAAATTGTGTCCTCCCCATTTTAAAAGGTCACGAGCCGCCACTGGGTACCATAAAATTAAATTTGATTGATTTTGTCTCCTCAAAACAGAGGAGAGGACTGATGAATTAATTAAGCCACAGTAAAACAAAACGCTCCGAATATTACATATTTTGGATGAGGAGTTGCTACTTTGATAGTAATTATTTAATTATTATTAAATATGACGGGCACAACATTATCGTATTCCTACATTTTCGAGAAAATGAGATGCTTGATTTAATAAAGAAAAAATTCGAACCACAGATTTTTCACGTGCAAAGTAGGCTTCGTCACCACAGGACTATTAGATTAGGTAACTAAGTTTGCGTGGCTACATTATTATGTGACTAAAAAAGAAGTGTGTTCAAACAATAACTATAATAATAATAATAAACAAAAACATGGCGGATTCATAAAAGACAAGTATATTAGGAGGATTTATGAAATTTAAGTTTACAAAATTTTGAGGGATATCGTCACGTTGTTGGTGTGATGATTAGACAAATTTTGGTGTGCGTTTTACTATCTATATATACTATATATATATATAGAATATTCATAACATATATCTAAAATTTATCAACAATCGGTCCAAGATTACACTGGTCTACAACATGAAACTTCCTAATATATTTTCTTCTGCTGATTATGAACTTGCTTTTAGATTTTTTCTAGCACATATAGTTTTTGCAAAATATTTACAATCAGAAAAATAAAAAAAATTGTCATCTCTCCAGGGAAATACAATTCAATTAGTCAGTTATCAGTTACTCAGTTAGCCATAAATTAATTATACAGAAATTTCACGTCTTTGAGATGGTCACATTTTTGACAAAAATGTACCGATTCGAATATTTTCAAATTTCGAATGCATATTTCTAGAACCATGGCGATTATCTCGATAATTAATATGACGTGCTAGAAAAAACTAATTGCAGATTTAGAATCAGCATGCGCAACTCATTAAAGTCCACCTATTCTAGTTTTTGCTTGATGACTTTTGATGCTCAACCAGTATCATTTGCTTAATAAAAATCTGGACCACGGTGGTAGAAGTAAGGTGTGGAAACAAGCCGCTCCAATTTGTTGAATAAAACACGCATCCCAGTAGGCTTATTTACTACGAAATAGTATGCAGCACAGTATGTCCATCTATGTATTAACATTTCAACTTGTCCGTGTATTTATGAATGAAATAAGTGACAGATTCGTTGGAGGGAAAATAAATCACAGCACTACGGTTTGTGGTTGGTCTTTGGTGTGAATCGTGTGATTGGTAGATGATTCGACATTTGTGATTGGGTAATAAATGACATTGGTATAAATGTCAAAGATTTAATACAGTTTTCTATTACTTAATTTCAACTGATCTCTCTAGACGTCGCTGCGGTGTGGACAGATAATGACATATAATCCAAACCACGCGATTTGTGTTTTCTACCAATGATTTTGAGGAAAGTTATGAATGAGGTTTCCACACCTTACTTCTACCACCGTGATCTGGACAGACAACAGAGAGACAGACGGAAACGAGAGACCTATTTTTTCGTACTTTAGAGATCATGAAAGTAGCTAGGCGCCGCATGGACTCGATAACAGTAAGTACTTTCCTAGCTTACGTTCAGCAGTAACCATAATTACCTGAAAAGTTTTGCGAAAAATCATTTGTGTAAAATATCCTAAACTAATATCCACAAATATTTTTAAACATGCTATGCTATAATCATAGTAACTAGGTAAGTATTGAATACTCAGCTTTGCTTAAGGTGCAGAGTTTATTTTTTATTATATGCGTGTAGCAAAACTTAATTCCCAAGTTCTATGAGCGCATTCTCTTAGCAAAAAAGAGTACAACGTACATATTAATAAATATATGCTCCGTATTTTGCATAATTTTATAACATTTAAGTATTCTTTAGATTAATTTTTTCCAGGTTGTTTTTTTTTTAATGCAAAACAAATCATACATTATAAAGAAAAAATCACAGACTAACAACGTTAAGGAATAATAAATTAAACTACTTTAAATTACTAAAATTTGGTATCATTCTAAAAAGATACATTTTATAAAGATATTCATAAATCTTCAAAAACAGATGCAGATAGAATTATTTAAATTTTGACAAGGTGTTGCAAAACTATACCATCTCGTATATTTCTGTTCCTACCGTCGTCCGACACTTGTATTTACGCAGCTAAAGAATACTTAGGGGCAGAAACGTATACCTGCATAAATAGGTACAGCCTGTCGGCGAAGGCAGAAACAGGAGCATACCGTTTTATCTTGCCAAAATTAAAAGAATTCTGTTATAAATAATTGAAGTTTTCAGTTTTTTAGGAGTTAACGATGGTTCTTTGTTCAGTTGTCTTTTAATTTTACTAATTTACTCAGTTTTTAAGCTTATGTTGTGTCTTTTGTTTGATTGTACTTTAAGGGCGAGGGAAATTCTGTCTAAGCAAACTTAAACCATTTTTTTTATTTTCACTTGAAATAACCTACTTTGGAGTATTTCAAGAACGAGGCTCTACTAGAACGTAAAGTCACTAGATATATATTTTTAGTGACTTTATTGAAACGGTACTTAGTACTCCATCTGTTGGGTGGTACAAAATCGTACCAAGGGCTTGAGGTGTGTTTGCGAATTGCGAAGCGGGGGAAGAAAAGAAAAAGTCAGGCCTGTGAGAAACTCGTTGTACGATTCTTGCTGATCAAACACCGAACATCTCTTTGCTGCAAAGTTTTAAAAACATCTCAAGTGGTAAGTATCTAATTGAAAATTTTTCTGTGGAGATTCTGACTCATATTTTTTATCCCCAGTACTGGAAACTTTGTACGAATGGCTCAAATATGACGCTAGAGACGCTAACACGGGTTAAATGGAGAACCTTTCCCGAGGACTGTGACTCTCATAGGTAGGAACTTCTATCATACATCTTAGAACTACGTTTTTTTTTCCTTGTACCGCTCTGTGTCGTATAGTTCGGATTAGAGTGGGTTAAGAACGAAGGGGTGTCTATTTAACTTAAGCGCACCTGGATTAAGTTGAGTTGCATTTAGAATTATCGTGGGTTAGGTGACGAGATTGGTGGGTATACTTACCTGGTGATAGGGTTAGCGGGTGACGCTTTACATAGGATAAGATGACGATCGACGCGACAATAGCGTTTTGCCGTCTTTGTTTTTCTTGCTGATTCGAGAGGAATAGCGAGTGACGCGCCGAGTAGAGCCAGATGGCGACCGACGCGATGGTGGCAATGTGCCATCTTTGTTGTTCTTGTTGATTAGATAGAGATAGCGAGTGAAGATTGGGCGTTTTCGCTATTTTCGTGTTCACGTAAAAAACAAAAATAGTGACTTCCACTTTAAGAACTTGATTTGTATGAGTTATTTCAAATACACGCTTGGTTGGTGTGACTGTGTAACTGCGTAGCTTCTCTCTTATAGGGATTTAAAACATTTGCACACCAATAAAAAAAAGCAAAGAGAAAATTTCCGACCCATATTTTTATGTATCTTTTTTGCTGTTGTCGCCCTGAACTCGGTTGTTTTTTTTTGTTGTAGTGTCGTTCATTTGTTGTATGTACAACACATTAGTAGGTACAGAGGCACTTTGTTTTTTTTTTCTTCCACACTACAAAATTTTCTTCCTTTTCAAGATAGACATATATCATAAGAGTGCACGAACGTGTAGGGATAGTACTTTTAAAAATAAACTATGGTTATAAAGCGTAGGAAGAGGCTAATGAGAATATCTAAAAATATATATAGGATGTTCTATTTGAAAAACTAAGTTATATGTGCTATGGCTCAAAAACAAAAACACTCTATACTTACATATTGTCAAAAATAATTTTACTGTATACTACTTAAGAAACCGTACAACTTTAGTTTGTGACTTTTTTCTATCGCTTATTTCATAATATTTATTTATTCCACTTTGTTGTTTTAGGGTCTGGTGACATTGAGACTGAGTTTTTTTTGAGACCATCGTCCGAAGAGGAGGACGGCGAGGCACAAGGGACGTTTTCTTCAGAATGAATTTAGGAGTTGACGCGCAAGGCACAATGGCGCTGAGCTAGAATAGCGTCATCGTGTTTACATTTCATAGTTTTAAATAAAATGAATACAGTAGGTACTTAAACGTTTCTGATTTTTATTTAATTAATTTCTACGAAATTTGAGAGCAAACTAAAACAAAAACAGTTTAAAATGCGAAAGTGGGAAAGGAATTTGAAGCAATACGCTAACCTAACTATTTAAAATTTATATTGTAGAGAATTTAGGCATAGTAAATAATCTCCCGAAAATCCGTTAATTAACGAAACTACGAGTATGAATGAATACGCATTAGCTGAATAAAACTAAGTAAAATTGCTATCGCAAAAAGTGGGTAACATTCTCCCGAAAAATATTAAGTTTCGCGGCTGTTTTTTTGACACTAAATTTAATTTTTAAATCGAGACACCAGAAGGGTTTACGTTATTTTCGCATCTAGAGGGTACTTTCCGTTCTTTCGCGAGAACACTTGGATAGTTTGGTTGTCTGGTACTTTGCACTTTTTACTACAAGTTACAGATACATTTAACGATTCAGTTCATTTATAATATTCAATTTGAGTTAATATTTATGAACTGATGATATAATTAATGCTCAATTAGGTATTGGTACCAAATTTTTAATTTCTTAAAGAACAGTGATTATTTCGTTCCTCTAAAATCGTCTTAACAGTATCCAAATTGATAGCCCCGCTGACAACGCGACGCTCCGAAAATTCTAAAATGACTTGCACCTAATAAACCTGATTTACCAGTTTGTCTGCAAACCTTTGATATTTCTCAAAGATTCATCAGAATCTCCTCTATTTTTTTTCTAGTGATCTTCGTACAGACGTCTGTTTAGACCAGAAATAAATCTCCTTTTTTCAATATTTAGGGGGAATCAATGTGAGTATTGAGCAAAAACTCTGTCCTGAGATAATGAAACCATTTCCAATGAACTGACTGTTGTTAAAAATTGTCAAAATACCTCTTATCTTCTCGTTGGGGAAATTTCGGAAGACTACTGATTTGTCTAATTTTAATAATTCCCTTCTTTGTAGAAGATAGCTACCATCTAGCATTTTCAGTCAATTTAGCATTCAACATCTCAACGACTCCACATTTTTGTGTAAATAATTAAGAGAAGACCAATGTTACAATTTCAAGAAAGTTAAATTCCATCATCTTTTAAATCTGCTTAAGGCCCATTTCATTGTTAAGTAACTTTTTCAAAACCTTTGAATCGATATTATACTATAAAATATTACATATATACTATCAGATCAACATGGATTTATGTACCAGCGTTCAACTACGACTAATGTGACATGTTTCACTCAATGTATTTTCGGAGCCATTGAAAAGAAAATGAATTTCATCAAAAAAATCATTTTGTGTTGATTCATATTTTAGGTGACGTTTTTCGGATTCTTTGTAACTCTCTTTTAAATTTTACTTATTAAACAGAGAACAGCATGTTAAATATGGTAATTTTGGCTCGAACGTGAATAGACCGACATTTGGAACGCCTCAAAGATCCAAATTGGGTCTTCTGCTCTTTCTCCTTTTCATGAATGATGTTGACATTATATCATCAGAAAAGTTTTTTTTTTCTGATGACTTTAAATTATTCTTAGTTATAAACAGTAGAGATTCTGGGCAGATTAGATACATCATTCATTAATTTTTTAAACATATTGTTAAACAGTTCTTTACAATAAAAATATATTAACAAAGCACAAACCGCGGTGGGTCTAGACACACAAACATATAATAACTTCTATGTGACGTCATTAACTTCCTGGAGGAGATAAAAAAACATTCAAGTAAAAAGCGAAAACTAATTGAACGAATTTTTGATTTCAGTCTTAATCAAAGAATCTTCTTCACACCTTGATAGTATCTTCTAAACTCCTTTTTCAAAAAATACACCAACAATGAAAATGTACAAATTTTTTATATCAAAACATTATCAAAAATCAAAAAAGCTTAACAAGTGATGTAAAACTGTAAATATGTATCACAACTATTTATTCATCAATTTCAACGTTCCTCCTTTTAGCCGGTGGCGGTGAACAATCTTGTATCTCCTCATCCTCTTCGTTTTCAACTAGACTAGTATCACTTTCTTGAGTAGGTTGTGTAGGTGCACCATCAACTTTTTCCAAAACTTCCTTCAAATGCATAATTCTAAAATCTCGAACAGTCCCTTGCCCAACAAACTTTGATAAGTCAACTTTAGTTTTCTTTGATAACTGCATTACAAATTTACTGAACTGCTCCAGTTCATAAATAACTTTCGGAATCAGACGGGTTTCCTTCAACACTCGACTCTTAAGCGTTGAAGTGTCAATATTCTTCTTTTTATTCTTTTGTGATGGGTCTGTACTTCGTTTCTGACTTTCTTCAATATACGTTATTAGCTTGTACACGACAGGTGCCAGTTGTTTTCCAGCTAATTTCACCAGTCTTTCAAACCTGAAATCGTGCTGTGTTAGAATTTTTATTGTAAATATTGAAAGAAAACAAACACCTTGCTGCCTGGAAAACTGGATTGATTTTTGACGATCGCAAGATAAAATATTTGGCTAAAGCACTCAATGTGCAGTACAACAATGATAAGTTTTTTAAAGTAGCTTCAGATAAACTACCAGTGGGAACTGTACAGTTACTAAGGTTTGTCAAAATGGTTACAATAAAGCACAACTGACAGCAAACACCTCGTTCACGATTTTTTAAATTTTCTTTCCCTGAAAAATGTTAATATATTTTTGAAAAAGTAATACATTAAGCCAGTACTTCTTTCTAGGCTTTCTTCACCCAAATAATTAATCATACTGTATTCAGCTTTTAAACGTGCTATAATCCACTCTGTATCTTCCAGTACCGATTTGATTACGTTACACAGTGATAAAAAAACATTGTTGACAGTTAATTCGTTAATCACTTTAAATTCTTCCACAGTATGTTCTTCCTATAAAACAATGTTCAGCGATTTTGTAGAAAACTAAACAACATTGCTTACATCATCAATAACGCCCGTTACATCACCGACTCTGATGGATATGTGTTCAAAGAGAGTTAAACTCACTTTAAATTTTATATGACTGTCAAGTAATAAATTAATAAATCCTTGAGCGCTCTGTCTACTATTAACGTTATTATTGACAGCGAAATTATTTAACCATTCCGTCGTCTAGAAGTAGTTTAATAATATAGTTTTATTTTTTACAAGTATTTCATAGCATTCCAGTATATTATTACCTGTATAGCTAGAGCATTGTTATTGGTAGGAATCTGATGAGCTAAAAAGCTAAGTGTGTTTATTACAATTAACGACATTTTTTTAATTTCGGGATCTTCAGAAACTTCTTCTTCATCCATGTCAAGAAGTTTCTCGTACGTTTTTACAAACTCAGTTAAATGAGACACAAGATTTTCACTTGCGTCTTTGCCCCCTATTAATGTATTTTTTATTTTTAACATGAAGTAACAAAAACAATAAACACTTACCAACTTTGCTTAAGAAGGCTTGAAAATTGCTTTTAAAATTGTTATTCACGATATTCAAAATCAACAAAAAACACTCAACTGCCAATACTGCTGTAGTACAATCAAAATCTATAAATTCAACCAATCGTTTAATTATTCGTTCATATAATATCACTGCAATATCGCAAATATGACCATAAGTCATCTTTGCTGTTTGCACTTCAATGATTTTTTTGTTTTTAACTGCAGTAACTATATTGATCGTTGCTTGCATCATGTGTTGGTGGATTTCTCGTTTTGTTTTAAGGACATTTGATTGAGCAATTGTGGTCCAAGAAACCATAGGTCTTAAAATTAACAATTACTGATGCGATATTATTAACACTGATAACGTACTCATGAAGTAAGTTCATGATTTTAGTCATCACTTGAAAGTCTAGGACAGTCTGTGGTACCTTTAAACTTTTAGACGACTTTTGGCCATCTTTTCGTATTGTGGTGTTATTTGCAGTTTGTTGTGTTGTTTTATTAGCGTCTTTTTTCCTTTTGTCTGCTTTTTTCGGTTTGCCTAAGTTTTTAAAGAAATGTAATAATCTAGAATAACCTTGGAATAAACCGTTAATTTGTTTGCCGTTATTATCTGACTCGAGTTCCCATGAATACACCTTATACCCGATTAGAGCTTCATATACACTCATAGCTTCTTTTAAAATCAAAAGTTTTTGTTGTGCTTCAGGCATAATGTCTGTTAAATCAGTACCATCATCCTGTAGCGACAAAGTTCAAGTTACGGTTACCAGATCGTGCGTTTATAGTTACCAGTTCAAAGTGTACTAGTTCACACTTGTTCATTCTAGAACAAAGTGACTCCAAAATGTCCGTAAACCTTTCTACAATGGCGTTTTCATGATCGGTTTTGGCAACGTTTGTTACAATAAGTCCAACTGTATAAATTAATTTTCCCAGAGGTTCCTAGAACGTTTATGAAAAATAGGACGCCGAATTATTGAAACACACCTGTAAAAGAACTGTGACGTCTCTAGTAACTGTGATTTTATCAAACTTCAAAGGAGGCAGAGTTTCTTCATCAATAACATAAAAGTCGCGAAAGTGCATCCAAATCATTTCCAATACAGGAATTCCTAGTTCTGGATTTAAGCAAACAGCGCTGTAGAAGCCTTAAATTAAAAAGTAGTTCACGTTTTTTGCATAAATAAAACATAATAAAGTTGCAGAATGGCTTACCAGCGTAAAGTTGAACTCTGACTTCCGCCTGCTGCATAAAGCACCGTTTTAATATACTCAAAACTTCCAAGCACAGAGCTTCGTTACTAAAAGTACTAGGTGTACTCTGAGAAGCTCTGCTCATTGAAATCTGAGTAAACAGAGAATGTCCAGAAGAATAAGATCCGGTTGAACTGGTTTGACTTAGCGCAGCTAAGTCAGATATTTTTAAATTGGTCAGTAATTTTAAAAATCCAATCACTGCGACCTGACGGGTTTCAGTGGATCTAAAGAAATGCAATTAACGTTGTTAGTGGCTAAAAATAAGCACAGTAACCTTGAATATAACGCTTTTCTCAAAAGAAGAATAAAATGATCTCGTATTGTAGGTGAAACTTTAGTAAGAGGAATAATGGCATCTAATAGTTGTTTTGCATTGTTTCCTGGCATCTGTAGCAGCCCTTCCATCAACGATATGATCAAACTCTTATTTTCCAGCATTAGAAGGGTCAAGTTTTTGCTTAACATATACAAACACTCTGAAAAGTTGGCTTGTAAAGTTTCTATGTATACTAAGAGATAAGCAAAGCACAATATTTTTATAGTTACATATATGTATATACAGGGTGAGTTCTCAAGTTGTGTGGTTTTCTGAATATATACATTAAAATTATTTTCAAGTATACAGTGTTCTTTGTACGCTAAAATAGTATCTTTTGAATAATGTCTACCATTTTGAATGCGTAAAACCGCCACTAGATTAATATAATTTCGGATTTATTTACTTTGATTCTTGGAAAAAAAAAAACAGTTCTTAGAAAGCTTTAGTGCGCTTATGCGGTAATTTTTACAAGTCTGTCACACTGGGATGCAGTAATCAAGCGCAAATCAAATCGCAGTCAAAGTCGTAAATACACTAAAACTTTCGTCATACTCTAACTGCTGCTCGTCATCCACATTGGCGATTTTTTTCTTACCAATATACTGAGTAACTGTATTTTCGGTAACTATTCTATTACTAAGCTGTTCCACTATCACAGAAGCTGTATGTCTTTTTCTTTTAATAATTTTAAACAAAATCATGTTTCCTAGTTGCCACTGTTTTTCAGCAATAGGATCTCTACCAAGTGCTGACCCCACACCCAACAGCACAAAAGCAAAATTAACAAGCGCTTGAAGAATTAAATCTCGGTCTTCCGCACTAAAATAAAAACAAATAAAAATGAAAATCTTTGCAGAAAAAAATAGAAAAAACCTGGCGTTAATAACTTGATTGAAAACATTCTCAATTTTACAGCTGTTTGGCACCATGTCTCTAAACCAAGCAGACGCATTTTTCTTCTGTTCTTCATGGTAAGTTCTGGAGATGCAAGATCTAATCATTTCAAACACTTTCTCTTCATAATGTGAAACGGTAGAAATTGTTAACAAAACGCCGAGTTGAAAGGGATGTATGATAAATTCAGGGGATCTTAACATGTTTTTTAAGAATGATAGATAATCTTTTATGCATTCTTGGCCTAGAGATGCTGATGTGTGAATGTGGAAGAGGACTGTACCTTCTGCTTCCACTGTATCTTGACCAGATGTATTTTCTAGAATTATATCCATAGAATAAAAAGCTAAGTTCAGTTTTGTAAAATAATACCAATTGCATCTATATCAGTACTGTCAGAATTGCTATTGAGCTGATTACAAACACTATCATATCTTAATCCAAAGTATTGCTGCAATTTCATAAATACTATTCTACTGTTATTTTGCTTACACAATTTTAACAACTGGTACACAAACGGGGGAATTTCTTGTGGGGTCAATTTTTCTAAATACCTCCCTAATTTGTTAACAACTTGCTGATGCTCTTCTTTTGTTAGTGACATATCACTAAAAGTAAATCATGAGTAGGTAACATATTGACAAAATCATTGAACTTTCTTCATACATGAACATTTCCGCCAAAGCTGTAACATGATTTGGAAACCACTGCAGTGTACAAATAGAATTAATGGCTTGATGTTTATATTCACTTCCACTCATTTCTTCATCATTAAAATTTACATGTTCCTTTTCACTAATTATATTCAATAACTCGGGCAGTAATTCCTTCCAACTTACAAACGAATTTAAATAATGTCAATTCTTGCCATAAATATAGTCATCAACTTACCTCATTTGCGACACTCTTTGAGACTGCAAACACTCAGTGCAAAAATCACACAATTTCAACAAATGCTCGGTTTTAAATTTTGACAATTCCATACAGGTGCGACGAATGAGGGCGTTACAATGAGAGCCTGAAAAATCTGTTTGTTCTAGTTCCTTAACAAGTTTCATCACTACTTCGAAACGCTTTTTATGAGAATTAGAATCGTCTGTGAACCCTTGTAGAATGTAATTCCATGTGTAAGTAAAATTAGCAGTTGTTACTCTTGCCTCAACTAGATTTAGTAGCTGTAGTTAAATAGTTTATGTTAAGACAGTCGAATCAGGTAGAATTCATTAATTACTTGCCTCATTTACGGAAACACTGGATACATATTCTTCAAGACCGTCAGTGTCGCGCTTTTGGCCTAAAGTGCGTATTTTTTCTTCGAGAGACATTATTATTGCATTTTTACACTAAACCGCCAAAAACTTCAAATTACAGGTTATGTACGCTTGTTGTTATGTTTACGATTCCGAACAAGTCGGTGCACGTTTTAGCCATTGACCAGTGTGATGACGTCACTCGTGGTATATTTAAGGGGCCGGTGTTTACGTCGTTTTTTAAAAGGTGGACACATCGAAAAATATCCCATAACAGATTCGTTTCTTTTTCATGTAAATAGAGAATATTTATTAGAAAACAAAATTAAACATGTATAATTAAAAAACAAATTGATCGAAAGTTGTTTTGACAGAACTTCCCTTGCTCCTGAAATACTTACAATAATTTTTTTAGAGTATCCCTGTATACGCAAATCCAAAAAATATTAATGGAATGATAAATCACAAGTACTCAGGTGCGGATCCAGGGGCGGCAATGGGTGCAGTTGCCCCCCCTCTGACATACGACCGAGGTACTTTATTTTGACCAATTTCAAAATTTTGAAATCGTATTTCATTTTGTAAATACAGTACAACCTTTATATTCCGAACTCACGATTATCTGAACATCCAGTAATCCAAACAGAGGCTATTTGAAGTCGATGCCTCTTTAATCCGAACAAAAACTCTGCAATCCGAACTGAACTTGAAAACACGCATCTACTTCCAAAAATGACGCAAGATCTTTCTGCATATGTTGTATGAAATATTTTGAAATTTTTAAAAATTGGGATATTTCAATGCACTGAATTAATTAATTAATTCTGGAAAAAAAGATGAAGTAATCGGAGAAATGGGACCCGAAATCTACAAGAGAAAGTATTTGGTTAAATTTAGAAAATCGTCGAAAATTTGCATGAGAAAAATTTCATTTTTGAAAAAGTTTCCTAAAAATTCTGAAAAAATTCAGGGATATCCCGGCGTGCTGATTCCAAAAATATACCATGTTGATGGTAACGGAGCAATATTTTCGGAAATTTCGCTGTGAAATTCGAATTTTTCGAAATTTTAAAAAATTGCGATATTTCAACTGGACGATTCTGGAAAAATGGTTTAAGTTATCGAAGAAATGAATCCAGAAGTGACTTCTGAGGCCTAAAATCTACAAGAAAATATATTTAGTTAAATTTCGAGAATGGGTCGAAATTTGCATAATGGAGGTAATACGAATACATAATGGAAAATTTCATTTTTGAAAAATTCATCTAAAAATTCTGAAAAAATTCAGGGTATAGAGCCGGGAGTGTTGATTCCAAAAAGATAGCGTGTTTATGGTCACGGAGTAATATTTTTTTAGAATGTATCGATTACCCATTGTTGCTTAAGAATTCTTTAATTTTGTTTAATAAAATTTAGGTTTATTTCTTGAAGTTTGTTTTCAGTTGTGTATGAAGTTGTTGTTCAATTCTCTTTCAGATTTTTGGGAAAATCGCTGATCCGAACAAATCGTTAATCCGAACACACCTTTTTCCCAATTAATTAGGATTATCGAGGTTTTACTGTACACTATACGTGTAATGAAAAGAATCAAATGTCACCCATGTTATGTGAAAAAGAGTATACTAGCTAAAATTTTATAATTTTTTTTGTTTAGAACGAATTTCTGGGAGATAGGTAAAATCGCACAAAAATTGGACACCCCCCACCCCCCTAAACGAAATCCTGTATCCGCGCCTGTACAGACTCATCATATTTTGTATATTTTAGATAGGATTTATTCAGCAAAATTTTCGGGTGACGTCGTCAATTTTTTAGGGGGGATGAGCAAATACATTTTAATCAAAAATTTACCATGCTTCTGACAACTTTAAAACATCTGCAAGATTTCAAAGCATTCGGTTTTGTAGTTCCTGACTAAATCAATAAAATACATTTACACATTCATTAATTCGACTAAAAATTTATTATGCTCTTTATAACCTTAAAACATCTGCAAGATTTCAAAGTATTCGGTTTAGTAGATTCAAAATTAAATTGCAAAATGTTGTTTTATAATTTTGATTTTATTTTCCAAAAATCTGGACGTTTCGGGTAAAAACTCGGAGTCATAAACTACATGTTTAGGACTATGTTATTTTGTACAATTTAAAACCCATGTGCTATGTACAATTTTGAAGTCACGTCATTGCATCAGTGGTGGGGATAATTAGACAAATTTTGGTTAGCGGTTTACCATCTACATACATGATATTCCTAATATAAGTACAAAATTTCACAACAATCGGTCCAGTACTTTCAGAGATTATCTGTCTAATAAAAATCCGTGACGGCAGACAGACGGACAGACGGACAGACAGACAGACGGAAACGGGAGACCTATTTCTTCGTCCTGTGGTGTTATGAAAGGTCGAGGAAACGTAAAAGTAGAGAGTCGGCCGACGGACTCGACTACAATACTTCCTTTGCTTAGGGTCAGGAAGTAAAAATATAGCGGAAACATCTCACGATATTATTAAAATAATAATTATACTTATGTAGGTATGTTACTTTTAATTTGATTATTATTAATTATTACACCGTGATTATTACTAAGGAAACCGTATTTTTGTTCTAAATAATTTTTTATGGACGAAAATTAGGTGGAAAAAAGTCGATCGTACATTTTGTGGAACGGAAAAAGCAGAATCTGAAATTGGGTAATCCCATGTCGGAAAAATTGGTCTAAAGAGTTTAGACAGTACTTCCCTCGCTGTCGGAAACTTGACGACTGCATGCCTATTGTGTTTTTTTTCTCATTCATTTTTGTAGTGGGAATTTAAAAAAAAATTGCGATGACGTCATCAACATTTTTGCAAGGACACGTATATCAGTTGGGATAGATGTAGTGTAATACTAAGAATAAAATTATTATATTCTCAAATTTTCGGGAAAATGAATTGGGTCGTTTGAATATTGATTTGTAATAATCAATAAAATAACGAAACAATTTACTCACGTATACCTACGTATCAGAGGCAACTGAAAATCGTGTATGTATAAACATTGTTAATTTAAGATGACAGGCGTAACAGCATACGTGAGAGCCAAACACAGAAACTGTAAACAAAACGACCGTCGGTTTTATTGCTTCGACTTCCGCTTATTATATAAAACATTTGGTTTTATTTTAATTCTTGACGGTGAAATTCACAATTGGTTGATTATAAACATGTCTATTTCACATTCGCGGAATCAAGTGAACGCATAAAACAAATGCAGGTCTGTAATGTTAAAGTCGATGTAAATAAGCGTGCTACCCAATGTTTCAACCGAGTTTTTCCTTTAACAAATTTTGTGTCTACCAAATTGGGTTGGTTGGGGTGTAATACTAATAATAAGTGTTGCCTTTAATTTAATCAATAAAATAAATTGACTTCATTAATTTTTTTGAACCACCTCTTAAGAAAATCTAAAAAATATGAATGGAATGATAAATCACAAGTACAAACTCATCATTAGAGAGCGGATTTTATGAAATTTGCATATCCGTTATTTTTTGCATATAAGTCTTGATATTTAATATGTGAACGAATCATGCTAATTAAAAATGAATACAGCTATAAAAAAATTGCATATTTGCATATATTTGCCTTCTGCTGCATATTTCACCAAACGCGTGCATATTTTGCATTTTTATCAATTTTTGTGCTAATTTGAAAAAAAAAAATTTTCATTCTATCGGCATTTATCTAGAAAGACGAAATTTTATGAATCATATTGCAAATATTGTCCTGAGCTTCAAATAACTAGGAAAGGTTTGGGTTTTACGGTAGTTTGGAGACACCACTGGGTGTTAAGCCATCCTTTCAGGTAAATTCGCGCCCTAATTACTTTTGGAAATACCATTCATGCCCAATATTTTTGTTCGTTAGTTAAGTGGTACGTTTAGTGGTGGTCGAAGGGACTATTATTTTTCATCGTGAGTTTGTATTGAAAGCATTTAAAGGGATACAAGTATATATCGAAGATAACTCAAATTAATTTATGGATTAAACCTTTTCCTGAACTTATTCTTCAAGAATGAACTGTGTTTTGTGGCGCCTGCCCTAAACCGGTAAGTATTTTTACATCTGTGGACGTAGTACACAGTTTTTCTATTTAGAAATACATATACTTTAGAATCACCGGAAAAACTTTTTGTTAGAATATTTCGAAAAATATCTAAAAATAAATTGTTACCAAAATAGTAATTAAATAATGGATTACTACTATTTTTCAATTTGTTCTGTTTATATTTATTTTTTAGTATAATAAGAATATTATCTTTAAAAAACCGTGATTTATGAGTTAGTGAGATGTAATTAAACACTTTGTAGTGTGATTTATGTATTTTTTGTAATAAAACGTAAGCTCGGGAACCCTGTTTTTGTATTTTATAAATAAATTTAGTTCGCTTTTTTTTATTTTTGGAGCACATGCATTGCATATCTCTGCATATATTAAGAAAGTTACTGCATATTTGCATAAATTTGGTGCATATCATATGATCATATTTCTCAAAATTTTGGTGCATATTTTCCGCTCTCTACTCATCATATTTTTTGCATTTTAGATAGGATTTATTCAGCAAAATTTAAGGGTGACGTCATCAATTTTTTTAGGAGGGATGAACAAATACATTTTGAACACAAGTTTACCATGCTTATAATAACTTTAAAATATTCCCAAGATTTCAAAGCATTCGGTTTTGTAATTCCTGATTAAATCGATAAAATAAATTCACGCCTTCATTAATTTTTTTGAGTCACCCTGCATATGCAAATCCAAAAATATGAATGGAATGATAAATCACAAGTACAGACTCATCATATTTTGTACATTTTAGATACGATTTATTCGGCAAACTTTTGAGCTGACGTCATCAGTTTTTTGTAGAAGATAACCAAATATATTTTGACTAAAAATTTATTATGCTCTTTATAACCTTAAAACATCTGCAAGATTTCAAAGCATTCGGTTTTGTAGTTCCTGATTAAATCAATAAAATAAATTTATGCATTCATTAATTTTTTTGAGTCACTCTGTATATGCAAATCCAAAAAATATGAATGGAGTGATAAATGACAAGTACAGGCTCATCATATTTTGTACATTTTAGATATGATTTATTCGGCAAACTTTCGAGCTGACGTCATCAA